ACCCTCCTGGACCTACCAGAGTGCTGGGATTACAGGCATGAGACACGACACCCCACCTGCTCTCATAACTCTGCAGCCTGGTAGATTGGGACTGATAAAGACTGTGGTTTCCAAACATCACTAGAAATGTGGGTTAGGGGTTTGTGGAAGACTGATGCCCCATGGCTCCTAAAGACTGAGAGTTCCCTTGTTTCTCCTTAAGGCCTCACGGAGCTGAAGAACCTGGAGGAGGGCGCCAGGGCAATTTTGTCCTCCAGTTTACTTGATTCCAAATTTCTCCTGTGAGCAGGTTGTACTCGAAAAACAAGGATCATTGATGTTGTCTATAATGCGTCTAATAACGAGCTGGTCCGTACCAAGACCCTGGTGAAGAATTGCATTGTGCTCATCGACAGCACTCCGTACCGACAGTGGTACGAGTCCCACTATGCGCTGCCCCTGGGCCGCAAGAAGGGAGCCAAGCTGGTGCGTATTACTTCTCTGTAAGGGTTGCGGGGTGGGCAGCCTGACGACAGCCTTCTTGTGATGAAAACTGTCCAGTTCTGCTACTGAAGGGAGAGGGATGAGAGCCTTTAGGCTGAGGAAGGCCAGCACTGGGGTATGCAGGGTTCAGGAAGGCTCCCATGGCCTTCTTCCCTGAGCTCATCTATTTGTATCCCCTTCTCAGACTCCTGAGGAAGAAGAGATTTTAAACAAAAAACGATCTAAAAAAATTCAGAAGAAATACGACGAAAGGAAAAAGAATGCTAAAATCAGCAGTCTCCTGGAGGAGCAGTTCCAGCAGGGCAAGCTTCTTGGTGAGATGGCTGTTGTGTTAGAGGTGGGGTGTCACAGAGATAGAGTGTGCCATGGCATTTTTCCCTTGTCTCAGTTCTTTTAACTGCCAACCTTGCGGTCTAAAGCGTTCATTGATAGCATCTGAACACAAAGGGGAACGTTTGGTCACCCTATTGGTGTGAAGCTGAAATGGGAAGCATTGGCTAGTAGGGTCTGCATAGGCCCTCACTTGGAGTTTTAGGAATATTTTGGGAAGTCCCTGCCCAGGCTGAGGGGGCTGTCTCAGTGATGAAAACTTTGTCCAGTTCTGCTACTGACATTAAGTGACGATAAAGTGTGTCTGAGGAGACAGCAGGCTCATGCTTGCCCCCAGGATACCTGAAACTACAGAGATTCTTAAGGGGATGGAAAGGTTTGGGTAGAGCTGCCTTGTTGTGCTAAGGACCATGTACTCTCTTGCAGCATGCATCGCTTCAAGGCCGGGACAGTGTGGCCGAGCAGATGGCTATGTGCTAGAGGGCAAAGAATTGGAGTTCTATCTTAGAAAAATCAAGGCCCGGAAAGGCAAATAAATCCTTGTTTTCTTTCTTCACCCATGTAATAAAGGTGTTTATTGTTCTGTTCACACATTTGTGTTGCCTATTTGTTTCTCTGCTTTTCTTCTTGGCCCTGCAAAATGGATGAGATACGGTGGCTGCAACCCCTTGCCTTACCTCTCCCTCCTACTGTCCTGATCCAGGCTCCCCACACTATGAAGTCCCTGTTCTCAACTCCATCTCCCCAAAGGCCAGATTTATTATGTAGGCTATGTCTGTAATGGAGGAACATTTCTCACCACATTTTGGTGGGACTAGGGATGTTGCAGAGGCTATGAGAGGGGTATCTCAACCTTGGGGTTCAATTAATTGTGTGCTGAGTCATGATTAGAATCTCAGGCTATGTTGCATCTATAAAGTCGTAAGGATCCTGCATCCATTGTAAGATTACCAGTGATTTCTGCCTTGCTTGGTCTTCCAAGGGTCACTTCTTTGACTTAAACTTGCCCTGTCAAACCCTTAACTTTAGTCCTGACCTGCTAGACATCTGCACTTGGATTTGTTTGTTTGTTTGAGACAGTCTCTGTCAACCAGGCTGGAGTGCAGTGGCATGATCATGATTCACTGCAGCCTTGACATCTGGGCTCAAGTAATTCTGTGCTAGACTCCCAAGTAGCTGAGACTATAGACACATGCCACTACACCTATTGTTTATTCGGTAGAGACGGGCTCATTTCATTGCCCAGGTCTTGAAATCCTGGGCTTAAGCAATCTTCTCACCTTTGCTCCCAAAATGCTGGGTGTCAGGCATGAGCCATGACACCCAGCTTTGCACTTGGGTTTTGTTTTTTGACGACAGTCTCACTCGGTTGCCCAGGCTGCATAGCAGTGGAGTGCAATCTTGGCTTATGGCAACCTCCACCTCCTGGGTTCAAGCAATTCTCATGCTTCAGCCTTCTGAGTAGCTGATATTACAGGCATGCACTGCCATGCCCAAGTAATGTTTTGTATTTTTAGTAGAGAGGGTTTCACTGTTGGCTAGGCTGGTCTCCAACTCCTGTTCTCAAGTAATCCACCTGCCTTGGCCTCCCAAAGTGCTGGAATTATAGGCATAGGCATGGGCGACCATGCCTAGCTTTGCGCTTAGATATTGTAATAGGGCTCTCAAAGGCCAACGTTTTCAAAACTGGTATCTTGTCTGCTCCTACCTGCCATGTTCCTCAGTTTCAAGAGTCAGGGTCTCACACTTTTGGCCAGGCTAGAGTGCAGTGGAGTGATCATTGCTCAATACAGCCTCAGTCTACTGAGTAGATGGGACTACAGCTATGGTGCGGGGCCCAGAATGATCATTTTCTTATAGAGATGGGTTTTCATGTTTCCCAGGCTAATCCTGAGCTCCTGGGCTCTAGCAATCCTGCCTTGGTCTCCCAAAGTGCTGGGATTATACATGTGAGGCACCGCACCCAGCCAAAAGTATTTTTTTTTTCAGATGGAGTCTAGCTCTGTCACCCAGGCTGGAGTGCAGTGGCAGGATCTCAGCTCACTGCAACCTCTGCCTCCCAAGTTCAAGCAAATCTCTGCTTCAGCCTCCCAAGTAGCTGGGATTACAGGGGCCCACCACAACCACCACGCCCAGCTAATTTTTCTGTATTTTTAGTAGAGATGGGGTTTCACCATCTTGGCCAGCCTGGTCTTGAACTCCTGACCTTGTGATCCACCCGCCTTGGCCTCCCAAAGTGCTAGAATTACGGGTGTGAGCCACCATACCTGGCCTCAAGATTATATTTTTAATGTAACAGCTTCCTATCTCATCAATGAAAATCCTTATCAAGTATGACCTAGCTCCTGTAGTGACTCCCTCCATCAACCACACAACCATCCTGGCTTAGTGAACATACATGTACACATGCTATGCCCTTTGCTAGGCACATGCCTTCAAATATCCACCTGGGGCTGGACGCTGGGCATGGTGGCTTATGCCTGTAATTCCAGTACTTTGGGAGGCTTGCTTGAGGCCAGGAGATTGAGACCAACCTGGGCAACAAAGTGAGACCCTGTCTCTAAAAAAAAAAAAAAAAAAAAACCTGGTTCATTCCCCTCCAGGTCCTTGCTATGTCACTGTAGTGAGTTCTTGCCAGATCACAGTATTTTAAGTTGCAGTTGCCCCTCCAAACTGTCTCATACTTTGCCGATTTTTTTTTCTTTATTCCTTAATCTGACAAAGTTTGCTTTCTTCCCTTTGGAATGTTACTTCAGGGAAATGAGGTTATTTGTTTCCTGCTGTGTCTCTGGCACCTGGAAAAGTGTATGGACATATACCAGGTACTCGAACATATGCAAGATTAATTGGGAAAAAAGTCAAGATTTTATTAAGTTTGGCCAGTTTGGGAGGCTGAGGTGGATGGATCACTTGAGGTCAGAAGTTAAAACCAGCCTGGCCAACATGGTGAAACCCATCTCTACTAAAGATACAAAAAATTATCGGGGCATGGTGGCACAGATCTGTAATCCCAGTTATTCAGGAGGCTGAGGCATGAGAATTGCTTGAACCCAGGGAGGCAGAGGTTGCAGTGAGCCAAGATATGTTCATAAAACCAATGGGTTCTTTCTCTAAAGTCTTGAAATCCGTCTACTCTCCATTTCTACCACTTTCACAGATGACTGTTCTCACCATGGAACAAGGCCTGTAAAAGCTGCCCCCAAAAAATCTTCAGATGCCTTCTGAATGAATGGCATTGTGGGTGCTACTGTCTCCACATTATAGATTTGGAAACTGTGGCTTAGAAATATTCACTATCCCGTGGACATACAGATGGAAAGAAGCAAAGCCAGCATTAGAATCCAGTCAACTGACCCTGCCAGAGGCTGGAGTCTACTCACTGCACTCTAGTGTCCCCCTCTGTCTTCATCCTTTGTTCTGGGATTTATTCTGTGGCCTTAATATTCAGTTTTGGCCTTCACTGATTTCTTTTGGTGGAGACTGGGACTTAGAAGGCAGCAATCTTAGAGGAGCACAGTTTTACCACAATTCCAATGTAGTGCTCTGTGGGAGACTATTTCCAGAAGGTTTTTTTTTTCATTTTCGGAAACAGAGTCTGGCTCTAACAGGGCTGGAGTGCAGTGGCGTGATCTTGGCTCACTGCAACCTCTGTCTCCCAGGTTCAGGCAATTCTTGTGCCTCAGCCTCCCAAGCAGCTGGCGTTACAGACATCCACCACCACAATCAGCTGATTTTTGTATTTTTAGTAAAGACAGCGTTTCACCATGTTGGCCAAGCTGGTCTCTAACTCCTGTCCTCTGGTGATCCGCCCACCTTGGTCTCCCAAAGTGTTGGGATTACAGGCGTAAGCCACTGTGCCTGACCCCAGAAGGCTCTTTTCTTACATCAGCGGAGTGCCCCCAGTGCTGCAGGCGCACCATGGAGATGGGCCTGGGCTTCCACCCATAAACTGTACTTTTTCCCCCTGTGTGGTTGGTGGGAGTGGAGAAGAGCTTGGCACACTGAAGTCCCAATGCTAGGTCTAGGGTGGGTGCTGGATGGCTGCCTTCACATCTGACTTTAATCAGCTCCAAAACAGATTCCCAAACCCTTCCTTCCTTCATCTTCATCCTACTGCACCCATGCCAATTCAATTTTAAACAATTATAACTGCACAAATAATAAATATATTCTGTGTAAACAAAAACAAAAGTTAAAAACTTGAATATATTCTCAATGTAAACAAAAACTTGAACATTACAGATAAGGCAGAAGTCCCCCAGCACACAGGGATGCTTCTTCTGAGTAAGGTTACCAGGGTTAGGTATACCCCTCCAAGTACTGCTTCACGTGACTCTCAGATTGTGTTTCCTGGACCAGCAGCACAGCGTCACCTGGGAACTTGTTAGAAATGCAAGTTATCGGGCATCATCCCAAATCTAATGCACTCTTTTGACAAGAGCTTCAGTGATGCTGATCCTTCCTCAAGTTTGAAAACCGCTGGCCTAGCTCCCCGTTGCTGTGAAGCTAACCGTACACCTGGGCTCTAGTCCTCTGTGCCTAGGCTTTTATCTTTCTAGTTTGACCGACCCCAAGCAACCCATCCAACCTTCTCTACCACCAAAGTGGACACATTCCCAGCCCTGGCTCAGGCCCCTCCTGCCATCTTCTTTTTCAAATTCTGTCCCTAAATGCTTTGGCCTTCAAGGCACTCAGGAAAAGCTGCTCTAATAGAACTGGCTGGCAGGACCGCGCATGGCAGGGAAGGGGGGCAGTGAGTGGGGGGAAGCAGGCAGGGGCAAGCGAGACCTCAAGGCTCCAAGGCCTCGTCCCCGGACTCCGCCGCCTCTTCTTCGATGCGGGATGCGGCCTCGGGGTCTCCGCCCTCCTCGGCCCGGAGGCGAAGCAGATGCGGAGTGCGGGGGGTGCCTCGCGCGCGGCCGAAGTTCCGGAGGCTGATGGCCGGGGAGGGCGCCCCTGCGCCCAGGAAGCGGCCGAGCAGCGGGGTCTGCGCGGCGGGCGCCGGCCGACCAGACGCGGGCGACGCTTCCACCTGCAGGCTCTGCTCAGGGTCGTCGCTCATGCTGCGGGGGAGAAAGCGGGCTGAGCGGGGTCACAGGGCGGGCGGGGGACGCGGGATTGGCTCTCGGGGAGGGACCGAGGCATCGGTGTCCCAGAGGCTGAGCGGGGACACGCGTGCCGGGTCAGGTGCGGTCTCCGCCGGCTCGGGCCACTCACCGCAGGTTGAAGGTGGAGCCCAGGAAGGAGGGCCGCAGAGACTCGGCCGCCGTGGCCACAGTGTAGGGTGGCTGCGGCTGGTCCTCATCCCAGTACTGGTCCTTCTCGGCTGGGGGCAGGTTCTGGTACATTTCGTCCACGGATAGCAGGGACACCTGGGTCAGCAGCAAGTTACAAGGATCCTCCTCTCGTTTCGTTCCCACGGAGGGGCTGAGAGCTGACCCGGAGAGGGAGCCCAGGAGCTGTCCCCGACTCCTGATCCTTGCTCACCTGCAAGTTTCGGTCTATGAGCTGGTTTGTCTCAAAGTCGTCATCGTCCTCACCAAATGGGTTGATGATCTGTTCAGCCACCTGCAGGTGGCAGAGACAGTGTTTTCTGGGCTCAGAGCCCCACATTTTTTCCCCCAAAGTTGGGGCAGACCCTGTGCCCACATCTCTACAGAGCAGGCTGGCATGCCCATCTGCAGTGCCCACCTTGAGCCAGCCAGCATAGAAGAAGAACTGCAGTAGAGTGGTGAGAGGCACATACATGTCCAGGTCTCCCAGGGCCGGGGCTGGTTCCTGGCCTGACTCCAGAGGCTTCTGAGGTTTGGCAGCCCCTTCCTCTGGCTCCACAAACTGGCGGCCAACCAGGGAGAGGCCAAAGAAGGAGTAGACGGCTATGGTCACCACCTGGAGAAGAGCCAGGCTCAGAGCAGGGTGCAGCGGGACAGGGAGAAATGCTGCCCCTGCCTATGAGGCTCTATGGGAAGTCTGACAAGTAATTAAATATGTATCCTGGTGTGGCAGCACCAGTGGGGACAGGGTCACCTTGGTGGGGCTGGAGGAAGGCTTTGAGGATGAACCCAATGCCTCAGGGGATTGAAATGGCCAGGCAAGTACCATCTCTAATTCTTCTCATCTCACACACGGCACAGGACATATGGTAGGCACTGGGACTGGGGAGAGGAGAGGCAATTACTTGGGTGTAGACGAGGGGGATGCTGATCCAGTCATAGTGGAATAGCATGCTGCACTTGGCTCGGTACTTGTTCAGCTCCTGGGGGAACGGCAGGAACAGGAAGACAGCAGAGGTGAGGAAGGAACAGGGGTGCCCAGCACAAACTAGGCGTGGGCCCGGCCAGGAGGCTCATTCTCATTCTGCCCTCAGAGGTGTATTAGACTGGGGAGCTTGAATCCCAGCTCTGCTAACTAGCTGTGTAACTTAGGCAAGTTTCATTTCCACTCTGTGCCTCCGTTTCCACATCTGTACAAGGAGGATGGTAGTACCTATCTCAAAAGTTGCTGTAAGGGATGAATGAGTTAACATAGCTACAGTGCTTCCAAAAGGCCGGAGTACACCGTTGGTGCCATACAAGTGTTAAGCACAAAAATTATTAGTCATCTTCAAAATAAGAGGGAGGAGGGCAGATGGGTCTGGTCCGGAGCTGACTCACTTCCAAAAGTAGACAGAGAGCGATGTCGTCACGGATTCGCCCGTCCCTCCGGGCCTGGGCCGCTAGGTTGGTGAACCAGACACAGGGCACCCAGTATTTGTTGAAGTCGGATTTCAGGCTCTCAAACTTTTTCCTCTCTTCCTGCGACATGAAACCTGCGAGGGTAAAGCGGGTGGGGTGCAGTTGCACCCTCTGCCGCCAGGGGAGGCTGCTGTTCCGCTGTCGGGTTGCCCTCCCTCGCGTCCACCGGCAGTCCCAGGACTCGCGGTTCCGCGTTCTGGTCGCGGTCCAGACCCTTCCCTGGAGGGCCCTACTCCCAGGACTCTCCCAAGCAGCACCTGCATCTGGCCGTGGGCCGGCCCCCCAGAGGCTCTCGGCGAGCGGCGCACCTGCGTCCACCACGTGCTCCATGGTGGGGAAGCGCTTGAGCACGCGGGTGCTGACCGAGCGCAGCACCAGCACGGACGCCAGGTTCGCGTAGCGGATGAGGGTGCGACGCAGCAGGCGGCCCCGCTGGTCCACGCCGTGCACGCTGGCCGAGATGACGCACATCAGCTGGTCTGGCAGCGGGATGCTTGTGTACTGAGACCACCAGCGGTTCACCACCAGAGTCACATAGAAACCTGCTTGGCCGCCATGGTAGAGGGAATAGGAAGGGAAGGTGGAGAGCCTGGAAGTCGGAGCGCCTCGCCTCCCCCAGCAGAGGGCCTGGTCCAGGCCAGTTGAATCGGGGCAGGGGGAAGGAAATATTTGGCTCCAGTGCCCTGCCATGCCAGACCGGGAGGAGGGAGGAGGGCAAACTTCCTCCAGCAGAGGGAAAGTGGGGGTTCAAAGCCAGGAGACTGCTTCCCAGGAGGGTGGGGAAGGGGTTGTCACCTCTGTCCAGCTCCCCTCTAGTGCCCAGGGTGGGCTTGTGAAGCCAGCGTGTGTCTTGTGCCTTGCTGGAAGTGAGGGTCCGGGAAGTGATAGGGCCCTGCCCTCCGGAAGCCCTGGACCCAGCACCCAGCTCCTGTGCCTGCTGGGCCTGCTCTGGCTGACCAGGCTCTGCCACTCTGTTGAGTGATCCTTTTTTTTTTTTTTAGGGGAGTCTTGCTACATTTCCGAGGCTGGACTGGAACTCCTGGGCTCAAGCGATCCTCTCACCTCAGCCTCTTGAGTAGCTGAGACTGCAGGTGCACCACCACACCATCTGTTGGATAATTCTGACCCTCGGAGCTGTCAACCCAACCCAGAGGTCAGGGAAGACAGTAAGGAGGATACAGGAAAAACTAGAAGGGGGCCTTACCCAGTACAAAGGACAAGGGGATGAGGTTCGCTGAGCGGTTGCAGTACCGGGCCACCTGAGCATACACGTGCCTCTGCCCCTGGGTCAGCAGCAGCCTGGGGAAGGCAGATGTAGGCTTGGGTTAGAGGGAGGTGGGTGGCCCAGTCTCCCCGCTTCTGGAAGCTCTAAGAGCCTACCCTTACCGGTAGATGATGCTAAGCACAGCGTACAAGGCCACAAAGAGGAAGAATTCCTTGTAGAGGAGCTTGTAGATGCTTCCCCTCCATCGGAGAAGCAGTCCAGAGAAACCCCCAAAGCGGGCCTCTGCCACTTTGAGAGTGTATGAAACCGTCATGGTGCTGGGAGCCTGGGGCAGGAGGTAACAAGAGTTGCCCCCAGGGCTGTCCTTTAGTTCCCCAGACAACCTCCCTTCCACTCTGGTCTCACACACCCCAGCCTTCACCCTGCATCAGTGGACAAGAGGGTAGGAGCCTGCAGAGCAGAAAAGCACACCCCATCCCTTGCAGAACTCAGCAGTGCATGGCAAAGCCAGGCTAGAGTTGGGCAAGGTAGAACTGAGATCTATGTCCCTTCATGCATGAGGCTTCCTCAAGCTCCTCTTCAGTCTGCAGGGCTAGGGATAACCAGATCCTGAACTGCTGCAGACAAGAGACACAGCTCCAGCCCAAACCCACTGCTATTCCTTGGAGCCTTGCTCTGGAAGCTGATTAACTAGTCTACCAAGGCCCAGGGCACTCCTACCCCCCATCCCATACCTGCCTGCCTGCTCTGGGCAGCAGCCGTGTGGAGGAAGAAATGGGCTAGACTTTACCCCCCACGGACTTAAGTACCTCTGGGATCTATAAAGTCAGGCTGGACTGAGGCCTATCACTGATGGATTGAAGCTGTCATCCAGCTTCCCCTGGTGCTGGGAACTGGGTGTGTCTCCCTACCCCTGTAGGGCTGGGCTGGCCTTTGAGTGGCAGTAATGCCACCTATAATGACCCCACAGCTCACACAGACAACACCATGTCCTTCGAGCCAGTATGACAGGAATTACTGTCCCACGTTTCAGGTGGGAAGACAGATGCATGATAAACTGTTATAATAATACCAGCTGCTGATTACAGAGCACTGACTAAGTGATGGGCACCATGCCAAGGGCACTACTATGTTATCCTCTCATGAAATCCTCATCACAGCCCCATAAGGTAGGAATCAATCTTCCGCATTTCACAGATGAGGCTCCAAGAGATAAATGACTTGCCCACGGTTGGCCACACAGCTAGCGTATGTTGGAGGCAGGATTCAAAGCCAGGGCTGATGGACTTCCAACGCTGGGAGTGGCCTGGCAAGGGCATGAGCTCCAGAACCCATCCTGTGCACTGGCCACACTCCCAGGCTTCTTGTCCAGGCTCTGGGGGTCTTGGCCAGGCTCTTCCTCATCCATGCCACAGGGCTGGCAGCCACAGATCTGGAAGTTCAGGATAGGAGTGCAGGCCCTGTTAAACCCTGTGTCCAACATCCTGACTCCTAGGGGTGCCCAGGATTTGAATGGCCACTTTCACCTCTTCAATTTCTTCATCTGTCAAACAGAGGAAGTAATACCTAAGGTGCCGATAGAACCTCTCCCACCAGGCACAGTGGCTTACCCCTGTAATCCTAGCACTTTGGGTGGCCAAGAGGCAGGCAGTTCACTTGAGGTCAGGAGTTAGAGACCAGCCTGGCCTAACATGGTGAAACCCTGTCTCTACTAAAAATACAAAAATTAGCCAGGCGGCACGCACCTGTAATCCCAGGTACGTGGGAGGCTGAGGCAGGAGAATCGCTTAAGCCCAGGGAGGCAGAGGTTGCAATGAGCCAAGATTGTGCCACTGCACTCTAGCCTGGGCCAGGCAAGTACCATCACTAATTCTCTGAAAGAAAAAGAAATAGAATCTCAATGGGAGAATCACTTGAACCCAGGAAGTGGAGGTTGCTGTGAGCTGAGATTGCGCCACTGCACTCCAGCCTGGGTGACAGAGCAAGTCTCTGTCAAAAAAAAAAAAAAGGAAGAGGCCGGGCGCGGTGGCTCAAGCCTGTAATCCCAGCACTTTGGGAGGCCAAGGTGGGCAGAACACCTGAGGTCGAGAGTTCGAGACCAGCCTGACCAACATGGAGAACCCTCATCTCTGTGTTTAAAAAAAAATAAGAAAAAAAAAAAAAGAGTGTCCCAAAGAGAGGAAGCATAGAGGTGGTTATGAGCACAGGCTTGGGGGTCAGGCAAACCTGGGTCTGAATCCCAGCTCTCTGTAACTGTGCAAGTTACCTAATCTCTCTGAACCTCTGTTTCCTCCTCTGGAAAGCAGAATGCAGAACACCTAACCTCATGGGGCAATTTTAAGTATTCACAGAAACAATGCCTACGGCCTAGAGCACTGTGGGTGGTTGGCTTGGGCTGCTGTTGCTATGAAAAGTTGAACCTGTTCTCTTTGGTTTCCTACTATTGGTCCACTCTTGCCTCCCAAGCCTTCCAAACTAGACAGTCTCTGAGAAATGAGGTGGCAGAGACCTTTTCCTGATGTCCTGCTAACCTGCCCCAGACCAAACAGTGCTGGGTCCTGGCTTTTAAGCTGGATACACAAGACCTTCTGAGACTTACCCACCTCTACCCTCATCACCAGCCTCTGCCTACTTCATTTTTAATTTTTTTTTAAATTTTAATTTTTGTGAGTGCATAGTAGGTGTATATGCCTAGCTCATTTTTAACTGTTTCTTCAAGGTGCGGCTCAGGGCACCCTCTAGGAAGCCTTCCATGATCTTCCCCAGGTTACTCCTCAAAGCCTTGTGGGTTTTCTCTCTTGCAGCAGTTAACCACAGTGGTCTAGGATCTGTTTACAGGAAGATCTCCCCTCTAGCCCATGAGACACCTGAAAACAGTTTTGAATCTGATTCATCTAAGTAAAGCTAGGAGGCTACAGTGGCTCATGCCTGTAATCCTGGCACTTTGGGAGGCTGAGGTGGGAGGATCATTTGAGCCCAAGAGGTTGAGACCAGCCTGGGAAACATTGTGAGACCTGTCTCTAAAAATTTTTTTTAAATGAGCTGGGTGTGGTGGTGTGTGCCTGTAGTACCAGGTACTTGGGAGGCTGAGGTGGGAGGATCACGTGAGCCCAGGAGTTTGAGGCCACAGTGAGCCATGATACAGCCACTGCACTCCAGCTTGGGTGACGGAGTAAGACCCTGTCTCAAAAACAAAACAAAACAAAAAACAGCTGGGGAGGACTTGAAACCAAGCAAGCTTATTTTTCTTTCTTTCTTCTTCTCATCCTTCCCTCCTTCTTGCCTCCCTCCACCCCCTCTTCCTTTTTCTCTTTCTCTCGTCCCTTTTAAAATGAAAGACATCTGTTCCCCCACCCCACCCCTGCTATTCTGTGAGATTTCCCAGATGAGCCAAGGTCTGGAAAACTACTCATGGCCTGACTGGAACTGGAGTTATGTTCTCCTTTTGGGTTTCCCATGTGAGATGTCAATATGAAGAAAGAAAGAATAGGACTCTGAGAGAGAGAGAGAGAGTGTGCGTGTGTGTGTGTGTGTCCATGTGTCCAGGACCTGACGTGCGGAGGGTGAGATACCAGCTCCTGGGCCTCAGGCATCATGGCCAGGCAGTTCATTCCCACACTGCTATATGTGGCTTTCCTAGACTCTCTGGGCTGCTTACCACTTAAAGATGTCCCAGGACTTGGAAAGCCAGGTCCTGGGAGTGCAGGAGCTCAGGCCATGTCTCCTTGACAGCTCTACTCCAGGAAGCCCTGCTGGCTGCATTTCAATCCTGCACCCCACCCGCACCTGTGGCCCTCACACCTCTGCTTGTTACCAGCCCTGTGGTCTGTGAATTTCCCACAGAGCCAGGGATAAAAGTGCGTGATGTAAAGCCTCTGCCAGAGGAAGAGGGCGGTCCCCAGGCCCACCCAGTCTCTACCTCCTGAATCACCTTATCTTCCTTCTCAGCTGCTGACCAGTCCCCTGGTTTATGGTACAGGAGAGGGAACCACTCAGCCCATAAATCACCTGCCCCACCTTTCCTTATCCTCCAGCTCTGCCTCTCCCTCCCTATTGGCGCTGCCCACCCATGCCCCTGTCCCCTCCTCACAGCTGAGAGCTGGTTGTATGGCTTGGTGGTGAAATGGATTCTGGAGCCACACTGCCCAGGTTCCTAAGTCCAGGCTTTGCCATGGTCATCAAGCTTTGTGACCTTAGGTAAGCCATTGAACCTTTTAAATTCCCATATGAGGCAGGGCACGGTGGCTCTTGCCTGTAATCCCAATACTTTCGGAGGCCAAGGCAGGCAGATCACTTGAGGTCAGGAGTTTGAGACCAGCTTGACCAACATGGCAAAATCCTGTCACTACAAAAAATACAAAAGTTAGCCAGGCTTGGTGGCAGGCACCAGTAAACCCAGCTACTCAGAAGGCTGAGGTGGGAGAATCACTTGAACCTGGGAGATGGAGGTTGCAGTGAGCCCGGATCATGCCATTGCACTCCAGCCTGGACGACAGAGCAAGACTTTGCCTCCAAAAAAAAAAAAAAAAAAAAAAAAAAAATTCCCCATGGGGAAATAGGGATGATAATGCCTATGGCATGGAGTGGTTGTGAATATTAGGTGGGAAGCGCTATGTGGCTATCAGCACGTCTCTTATCTCAGGTCGGGTTTATCCCTTCCACCTCTGCACCCACCAAGGACACCTGCCATCTCCTTATTGCTGAAGCCAACAGCCCTTCCCAAGTCCTAACCTTACCTGGCATCTCTCATTCTAGACCCTCCTTCGTTGGTCTCTGTGATCTGACACTCAAGAGATTCTGGGCCGAGCGCAGCGGCTCATGACTATAATGCCAGCACTTTGGGAGACCAAAGCGGGATCACTTGAGTCCAGGAATTCGCGACCAGCCAGGGTTTAGAGATAGCGAAACCCGTCTCTACAAAAAATACAAAAAATTAGCCGGGCTTGGTGGCACATGCCTCTGTCCCAGCTACTTGGAGGCTGACGTGGGAGGATTGCTTGAGCCAGGAGGTCCAGGCTGCAGGGACCTGTGATTGCACCGCTGTACTCCAGCCTGGGTGACAGAGCAAGACTCCGTCTAAACAAACAAACAAACAACAACAACAAAAGACAGAACAGGAAGACAAGAGAATAAGCTCACAGCCCCAGCCGGAGGTGGGCCCACCCGGCCAGTTGAGAAAGTCACAGGAAGAGGGCAAGAAAGCCCAGATGGGATTTTATTTTGTGCTTGACTGCTGGCCCCTGGCAGGGATGAGAGGTAACACAGCCATGAATCAGACAGCCCGGGCTCAACCTTAAATCCCAGTCTGGGAAGAGAAGGGAACCCAGTGTTAGGCTCAGCTCCTGTGTGCTTGGCAGCAGCTCCTCAACTTTGGGGAGGAGGCTCTAGAGAACCAGGCCTAGAGGGCAAATCAGCTTTCTCTCCCGAGGAGCCTGTCCTGGCCCCCTCGTCCCCACTTTCCACACTCACTCCTTGGCTATATTGTCAGATTCCACTCTGAACTCACCAAGTTCAAAACTTAGGGCAGCTTGGGAACTTGTCAAATTGGGGAAGGGGCAAGTAGACCTTACTCTTCCACACACGTTGCAAAGCCTTTGGGGGTCTGGCACCTGGACTGTTCCAGCCACCCTTCCCCCTTTTCTCCAGCTACTCTGAACTTTCAGTTCTTTCAAGAACCAACAGCTCTCACTCCAGGCCTCAAGGGGCACAGGGTTCCTCTTCTGCAACACTTTCTCGTGTCCATCCTATTCCTCGCGAACTCTTCCTCAGCTCTCAGGTTTCAACTTAGAAATCTCAGCTTACTTGCATTCCTCAAACTGAGTGTGATCCCACCTCTGGGCTCCCATAGGCCACCCCTACACCCTGTCCGTCTTCACCACTGTAGCACTAATTACAGGCCAGTTCGGTAGTCCTACCTACAGGTCACTCCAGGGGGCAGCAAAGGACCTGACACCTAGAGGCTGCTCAGGAAAACGTCTGTTGGAAAGGTGAACAACTGGCTGGGCACAATGGCTCACACCTGTAATCCCAGCACTTTGGGAGGCCGAGACGAGTGGATCACTTGAAGTCAGCAGTTCGAGACCAGCCTGGCCAACACAGCGAAAACCTGTCTTTACTAAAAATATAAAAATTAGGCCGGGCGTGGTGGCTCATGCCTGTAATCCAAGCACTTTGGAGGCCAAGGCGGGCAGATCACCTGAGGTCGGGAGTTCAAGACCAGCCTGACCAACATAGTGAAACCCTGTCTTAAAAAAAAAAAAAAAAAAAAAAAATTAGCCGGGCTTGGTGGCAGGAGTCTTTAATCCCACCTACTTGGGAGTCTGAGGCAGGAGAATCACTTGAACCCGGAAGGTGGAGGTTGCAGTGAGCCAAGATCGCTGCCACTACACTCCAGCCTGGGCGACAGAGCGAGACTCTGTCTCAAAAGAGAAAAAATGAACATCTGATTCCATGGCTAATCTCCAGCGCCCACGTCCTGCTCTACGGCTCCATGAGCTTCCTTCCAGCCAATGCTGCTGAAGGAGGGGATGCCTTGATAAGCTGCTATAGTGGATCTTTGCTGAGCCTGGCTTGAGCCTGCCCATCCCCTCTGCCAAAACAGTGTGTTGGGATGTGCTTGGTGGCTCACACCTATAATCCCAGCAC